GCAGGTTTGGGACAAATGCAATGTATTTCGTGGCCTGTGGTTTTGCTGCCAAGGATCCCACCCTTCTGGGCCTTCCATTTTACTGTGACATGGAATACTGTCCCCACTACCAAGCCTCTCCTGCAGCAGCCAGTGATGACCCTGTTCTTCCCTTGTGTCAAGTTAAACAGACTCACTTCCAGGGGCAACGCAATATCCTGCGAACTGGGAGACAATGATCAGCATTGTTCTTCTGCGTCACAAAATGGGCCACGAGAATGAAGCATAACAGAACAAAATGAAATCGGATTAAATTGAACTAGATGAAATTGCCTTTTTGTAAATCAAATATGCTCTAAGGTTGACAGTTACAGGTTTCAGGCTCATAGTTCCATGGGCCTTTTAATCTAATGGTCACTAGTAAGTGAATTTAATATTTATAGATGCCCACAGTAAAGGGTGTAAAGCAGCTCTCCGGCCATCAGGGAAGGTTTGGATTAGGCAAGGTAATGAATATAACAGTGCTTTATAGAGCATGAATACTAGGTAAATGCAATGTATTCTTTTGAATTAATCATGGACATGTAGTATTCTGACCCAAAGGCTCTTAAATTTAATATATGTGTCACATTGAAACCTTAAAATTTTTTTAAAAAATTCCACTGAATGCATTACTATTGTGAGGTTTTACCAAACTTTGTTCTCAGCATATCATTTGTTGATTGCTCTGGATATATTCAGCTGGTGCTAATGCTTGTCCTATCATCGCCTCACAAAGGGTGTCTTTGGAGGCCAGAATTATAGGAAGAGAGTGCACAATATTTGCGTTGTGGTGGCAGCGTTCCTGGGTGGGACTGAAATCACCATCCAGACACAGAATCAAGTAAAGCTTGTGCAAGTTTCCTTTCACTGAATAAATCCCACAGAGAGCCTCGTCCCACGAGTAAAGAATTCCCGTTTGTAGCTACTAATCCACTTCATGTTGTCAAAACTTAGACAAATGTGCTCCATTTCCTGCAGAAATCCAGGGCTAATTCTAACTTCTTCCAACCCCAGCCTCCTCCTAAGGTGAGAGGCACAAGCAGCGAGAAAGTTTGTATCCCTCCAATTTTACCATGACACAAATAGATGCTATTCACTCAACTCTTATGTAGTCAGATTCCCCAGGGTGATTGTTTCTACCTGGTTTCTGAGAAAAGTGACACAGCCACCTTTTAGTCCACAGATGAGGGTGCTGTTCAACTTATCTACCCCAAACCCAGCTATCTCTTACCAGAAACCATCTGATGTGTGAAGAGACTCAGAAACCAATGACCGGCTGCTGTTCCTGGCACAAATAAGGACTTTATAACCCGAGTACGCACGTGTTGTACCGTCAAGTTCATTTACTTCTATTCATTGTGCATTTTTACAAGACGTGCTTGGGTTATCTGCAGTCTCCTCTAAATAGTTTATTTACCTAAGGGTTTTCTATCCTCCAAAAGGAAACCAAATTGTATGTGGGGCAAAGAGGGAAACCCAGGGCTTGTTAATGAGGCAGAAAGCTAGTTTCGGTGGGAACGTGAGAGCAGCCAGAAGAGCAGGACTTAGCCATGCATGTTTATGGGGAATCATAAAATCATCAACAGGGAGGGGCCTTGTCTGCACAATGCAGGGAGGATCATCTCGCTGTGCAATACTGCTCCCAACAGCAGCTGCACCTTCCCTGTCAGCAGCCGCCGTTGGTGGGGAGGCTGCTTTGTTTATTGCTTAATCTATCACTGTTGAGCTTCCTGCCTCAGGGAGGCTCAATTTAAGATAGATTGAAAGGTAGTATCTGTCAATTGAATAAACACAGATGGTTTTCCACAGCAAAAATTGATTTTTTTTTCTTTCACCAAAGACATAAGTGCTAAACGTGATTATGTTTGGAAGCCAGGCGTGAAATGTGTCAGCTCTAGCCCCTGCCACATGCTGCCTCGCTGGGAGATGACACCACATGAGTCTTGGGTCTCTCTTGTGAGAGTTTAGGTTCTTGAGGTGAAATAAAACTTTGATTTCCCTAGATAAGGGCCCAATTAAGTCCTTCCTAGTAAGACAATCTGAGGGAACCCAGTAGTTAATTCACAAAATTAGTTTTACCAGTCCTTGGTCACTGGGTGGCAAAAGTCTCCTCCAGCACTTTCACTTAAGAGTCTCAAGGAAGTAGCAAGATTTGCCTGAAGACACACAGGCACACAGAGAGCTCAGTCTTCTCACTCTTTCTCCAGATGCCGGGAAGGAGATACACAATCTGTGTCATAATGTTAACTCCAGCAGGCAAGAAGATGAGTCTTGCTCCCAAAATGTCTCAGAAGGCAGGTAAATCAGAGATGTGTGAAACAGTACCCAGATTCTCTGTACCAGAAATCTAGTTATTCAGAGTGCTATGTATGTGAGCAACTCACCAGGCACAGAATCATTTATAGTCAAGAGTTCTAAAGGAAGCCAAGGGCAAAGTTGTGGAACAGTAGATGAAGATAATAGGCCCATGTAGTTGAAGAAGGGTGAGTAGGAAGAATACTCTTTGAATAATGAGAACATTTAGCAATATATTCCCTTATGTTTCTTTCCACTCTAATTCCAAAACACTGTAAGCTCATGGAAGGAGCATCATTCATGAACATGATTCCAAGGAGTCCCCGGAAGCAATACAATGGTCTATCTCCGTTTTTAGTGCTAATGTGCGTGAGAGTAGGGAATGGTGGTTGAAGGATTTTCAAGGAGTTAGTGTTGCAAGGGAAGCAAAAGCAGAGTGATCACAAGCCAGTGGGCTACAAAAAATGCCTTTGAGACAGAACTAGAAGCCAGGCTTGGTGGCACATGGCTGTAATCCCAGTACTTGGGAGGCTGAAGCAGGAGGCTTGCTGTGAGTTTGAGACTGGCCAGGGCTACACAGTGAATTCAATGCCACCTTGGAATACATAGCAAAACCCTGTCTCAAAAATCAAAACAAAACCAAAGAGACAGAACTAGAAACAAGGAAGAGCCTTAGAGAATTTTAGTGATAGAGAGGATTTATCACTGTCTTCTTATTCTCAAGAAAAAAAAAAGTGAGTCCAGTGAAGGGAATTGATAGCCAAAGTCATATAGACAGAGACACAACTGGGACGTCAAGAAATCTTGGTCCTTTCAGCTACATTGCCTTCTTGCTTTGCAAACTGTGTGATGTAATTACGGACTACCAGGAAAGCAGGTGTCTGCAGAGCATAAGAGCAAGTGGAAAGGAGGAGTGCAGAGGTTTTGCTCCAGCTAATGCAGCTGTAAACACATCTTTGCAACTGTTTTGTTCCTAACTCCTAAAGCTCCAGAGGCAGTGAGCATTTCCTCAATGGAGACAAAAATCCTTTTGTCTGTATCATGTGGAAAAGAGAGCTGATTGTTTCTATCTCACCTATGCAGAGCAACCTTGAAGTAAAATTGCCTTAGGATGTAAGGGCTATGTATTGGGGCACATTTGCAATATTTGGATTCATCTAAAAGTGACTCTACAAGTTTGCACTCTGCCAGAATGCGCCCATCTTCAAATCAAGAAGAATGTGAACTGGGGCTTCTACAGCAAGACAGGCTCATCCTTTTAGAGCTAATTTTACTCAGAAAAACAAAAAAACAAAACAAAACAAAACAAAACAAAACAGTTTTCAGTCCTGTCTTTTTCTGCACATAGGCTATTTCATAATTACTCTTTCTAAATAGAAACAAATCTGTACCTGTTTTTTAAGCAGGTCTTAAAATGAAGTCCTAGCCAGCTGTGGTGGTGCACACCTGCAATCCCAACACTGGGGAGGCTGAGGCAGGAGGATTGCTGTGAGTTCGAGACCAGCCTGGGCTACAGAGTGTGCTCAAGCCCAGCCTGAACTGCAGAGTGAGACCCTGTCTCAAAAAGACAAAAAAAAGAAAAAAAAAATGAAGCCCTTCCCGTCCTCCTTAGATGTATTTAGACAGAAATACATGTTATTGAAATTGTGTTCATTTTCTCCCATAAGCTTTAGGGGAAGCATAGTGTCAATGTAAACATGTTTCTATTTCCATTCAGAAGTGATTTCTTCTTTCTTATGTTAAAATCAGTGCATCAATGTAGTACATAAAGATAGTCAAATCTAAGTAAACACAGTTGGCTCAAAACCTGTACAGCAAGAATAAATACTATCCTTTATGCATTTATAAATATTTAATGAATTGATTGCATGGTCAACTTTTTCTCCTAAAGGATTTTTCTTCTATAGTAAAATAGTACCATGATTATCAAAATTGGATAACAGCAATCGGGACTTCAAGGAATAAGAATTTAAAGTGCAAGAAATCAACCTACAGCCACACATGGATCTTTATGTATGTGGCTATGTATTTGGTTGTATTTTTGCCTTAAAATTACATATTGAGTGTTTCTCCTGCATTCCCCAGTCATATCTTTTTAAAAATCATTATTTAGAGATTTGTCTTACATTAAACTGGCTTCAATTATTACAAAGTTGGAGACCTCTTCTCATCCATGAGGCTCTTTCAAAGGGTTGACTTTCATGTTAGGAATGTAATGGAAAGTTGTTTCTTGGTTTATGTACAAGGACATTCCTGAAAAAGGTGTCAAGTCAGATTTTTAAAGTATTAGCTTCTGCTTAAAGCAATGATAAGGTGAGGTCCATCCCAAAAGTAGTCAGTGCATGGTTTCTCTGCTATACAAAGCTGGTTGTTCATCTAGTGTCTATGTCTTAATTGGTCAAAGCTGTATACAGTATCTGGGTTTGAAGCTTAAAATAATAATTTCCTATTTGTTCCCTTTTCTAAAAAAGGGAAGGTTTGTTCTCCATTAGAAGAAGCATTCACAAGCTGAAAGGGAAATGTAAACCTTAAAGGCTTACTTTGAAATACCATAGTGATCCCCTTGGGCTGCTCCCACCCGCCCGCCACCCACCAGCACAACTCCAGAGCCTTCAGCAACAGACTCAGGGCTCCTGGCCAGCCAGAAAGCAACCCGAGAAGCCTCCAGGGGCCCAGGTCAGAGGTTAGACTACAGGTACCCCTCATGACAGATGTTACCATTGATGAGGCTGAAGGTAGCCACTGAAGGGTTGGTGCTCTTGAAAGAGGTCATACAGGTGGTACTTCTGCCGGTGCTGTGGGATCGATTCATCAGGCCGGGTCTGCAACAGAGGAGCTGGGTGTTGAACTGTTTCCTGAAACTCTTGCTCAGCAGGTAGAGGGCAAAGGGGTTCACGCAGGAGTTGGTGAAGGCCAGGAGGCGCGCACAGATGCTGGTGACGAAGTGCAGCATGGAGGTGTCCACTTCGGAGTAGTGGTAGGAACGGTACAGGTAGATGATGTGGTTGGGGAGCCAGCAGAAAGCAAAGAGGCCCACAAACACCAGCACCGTCTTGGCAAGCCGCTTCCGGGATTCAATCTGAGGAGAGAAACCACATGGGGACAGGGTAACCAGGGGACAGTGTCTGAGAAAAGAAGCTGAAGATTCAGACAGAGAAACAGACAGAAAAAAACATTAGGCAAACACAAGCACACAGACGTAGAAAAATAATTCAGCAGGGAAGGGAGAGAGGGAATCCAAAAATGGGAGAAAAGCAACAGAAAAAGACAGAAAGCAAAGCAAGCCAGAAACACACAGATGGATGAACCAGGAAACAGAAAGCCATGAGGCAGAATAGTTACAGCGAGCTGCTGAGACCAGACCTTTAAGCAAAGTTGATTACATGCTTGAGTGGGCTGCGCAATGAAATTCTAGTAAGTGCCCTCTTTTCCTAGGGAGAGGGGGCTGCAGTTTATCAGCCATAGAACTTCATGCCTTTCTTTGTCCACAGTGAAACCATTTCTTCTACATTCTTATGCTCAAAACAGCAGCCGGTTTTGTTCTTCCTCACTGGCCAATCCAAGGTAAATCCCTATTATTATTAAGGTGTAATCTCAACTTATTTCTGTACTATACTCTATGGAAAGATTCCACAGAGCGAGTCGAGCATTTCCCTTTGCTCCCAACTCCCTTTGACCTCAAGGGGAAAGAAGCTTCTTTCCGGTTAAGGAATTTGGGGTGCAGTGTATGATTGCCATCGAGAGCTCTTTCAAGGAAAGAAACAGTTTGGCTGACAGCTGCCACGCTTCTTTGACAATTGAGACAAAAACAAAAAAAAATTTTGAAAGGTAAAGACTCCAAGTGAGTCAGCTATTCATGCTATTTTCCCATCATACATATCACAAGATCTGCGGATAAGCTAAAAGCAAGAAGAGCTGACCAAAAAAAGAAAGCCAGAGCTCCCCCAGTTTCTACATTGGACTGGAAGAGTAAAATTCTGGGGATCCATAAGGGACGGGGGCATCCAGCACATACAGAGGGCATCGTGCATGCTGCTAGGCATTGCGTATCATATCTCCTGTAATCCTCTAGTCAACTTATGGCAAGAAAATGGAAGTGCAGAGAGAGTAAGTGAATAAGTCATGTCTGGATTTTAGCTCAAATCAGTGTGAGTCTTTTGTAAGCAACTTACTTCTTTTTTCTTCAACCTATATCATTTTCCTGCTCCCTCTGCTTTGTCTCAGTATGGCAACTCTCTTCTAGCCAAAAAATGTGATTGGAATTTAAAGAACTATCTGGCCAGGGATGCCACCTCCTTTCATTGCAAAATCAACCAACAGGGCCATGTAAATACTGTACTTGTCAGTGGGGACCAAAAGAAATGCAAGGGCCCAAATCCTCAAGGAGGAAATGAATCTATCTTAAGCACCTACCTGCTTCTTGACATGGATATTCCCTTCCACAGGAAGATTGTAAGCACTCTGGATCAGATTTTTGGCAATGAAGTAGTAATAGACAGAGATGATTGACAGTGGGATGATGTAGAATACCAGAAAGGAAGCCATGGAGTGGATTTTGGGGTGCAACTCATTCGAATGTGGGTATGGGGCACAGCTAATGAAGGTCTTGTTGGTGCTTTCCTCATGGAAGGGATGGAGGTCAGAAAACACAGCTTCTGGGATGGCCAGCAGCATGGAGATGACCCAGATTAAGGCGGCTTTGAGGCAGATCTTCATCAGGGCATGCGATGCCTGGATATCCATTGGCCGGACAATGGCTTTGTACCTGGAGCAGGAAAGAGGAAGTGTTCTGCAGAAGTTCTGCAGGAAGTGTTCGGCATCCTAATGTTATGGATGCCAGAGCCAGAGCTGGGGAAAAGCAAGTCAGGCACCTGGGGTGCCATATTTAAGGAGGTGCTCACTGTCAGGTTCATGAACACACTGACTCTGAATTCCCCTGAGTGCCTCCTTAAATTCAGCATCCCAAGCTTGCCTCCGGCCCCTTTCTACCTGGGCTGTGAAGGATGCCTTCTCCTTTCTCCACCAATAACATTCTGTCTACATTCCTGTGCTTTCCTCCCCTTTCTCTTTTTTTCTCAGTTTAGAGATGTTTTTAAATTTTTATTCATTTTTTAAAAATTGATAAAAATTGTACATACTTATTGTGCACAATATGATGCATATATATATATATTCTAGAATGGTTAGATCGAGCTAAGTAACATACACACTACCTCACATACTTATCTTTTTTAATGACAAGAACACTTAAAATCCACCCTCTTAGTGACTTTCAAGAATACAATAGATTGTTATTGACTATAGCCACCTATTGCAGAATTCACAATGGCTCATGACTTTAAGAATACTTCTCAGAAAAGCTCATGCTCCTTTCATTTTCCTTATTAGATCAGAGAAATAACAAAGCACATTATTATTTAAAGAGAGACACAGAGACAAGGACTTGGGTACTGGGGGTTTTTTTTTGGCAAATCTTTCATTTTGAATATTCAAATAGAATTCAAAGAAATTTAAGTCATTGAGTATATTTTAAATATGCCTCTTCTTTCTTTCAACGGATGCAGAATAAATGGCCCATTGAAAACGTTATCCCCGGGAGGAGCCTCTAATTGTCAAATCAATCTTTCCCTTGCCCTCCTACTCTTTCAGCCTTATCTTCTCTCGAAGTGCACATTTGGGTCCTTACTGGTTTGTGAGCTATTTTTGCCCTTATCTTGGTTTGAGTGTTCTGGGAAGCAGAGGCAGACGTGAAGTTAGAAGCATAAAAGGTTTATTGGAGAGTAATACCTGTGAAAGGAAAAGGGGAAGGAAGCAGGACTGCACAGAGGAAGCTGTCAAACCTTAATGCAAACCTGAAAAAGTCCATGCCAGTGAGAGTGAACAACCATCCTGGGCTGCCTGGATTTAAACTGTTGAGATTTAGCATTCGAAGTCCTGTCCTGGGAAACTGTCAGTCCCAGCAAGCAAACTGAGAACACTGGCCATCCTGCACCAGGTGACAGGGAAGGCTGGGAGCACAGACTGCCTGGTGGAGGAGTCCTGTCCTAGGTGGAAATGGCCACCCACTTGTCCTACCTCCTTGGCTGAGGTAACCCCAAGAATAGTGTGACTTCTATTACTGCCTGACCCAGTCACTGCCAGGAACCACCCAAGAGATTATGGCCATAGCGTGAAAGCTGACGTGGACCCGGAGAGAGTTCTTGTTAGCTGGAGGCTCTCAACTAACCAGTCACCCGCAGCAGGGGACGCCTCTTCTAGAGCCAAGCAGCGTGTCTGCGTGTCTGACATGACCTCCTCGCTCGCCTAGCCTCGTGGGCCACACTCATCTCCTGTGTACTTGCCTGGAGGCCGCAAGAGAATGGACCTCTCTGGTGGGCAGTGTGTCTTTTTCCATCTTGGCTTCCACGGGCACTGGGATGGGCACATGCTCCACAGACGTTTGCTCTGTGGAATGTGAGCTGCTATAAAATAAAAGTGAATGTGCTTGGGATCAACTAGATGAGGCTGTTCATGGCTGAAATGATGTGTTTAAACTGGGTCCTCCTTAAGATGCTCTTAGCATGACTTCAGTGAGTCCCCGTACTTCCACTTGTTTCCATGTTGACTAGACCACTTGCAGATGCACCCTGACTGCTCACTCACTTTCCTCCTACTGCCAGGGAAGGGGGAATGAGTTAGTAAGTAGCAAATGTGGGAAAAAAATTCTGGTTTGTGCATTGGGTTCAGGTTGGCCTATGGTCATCTAACTGTCCCTGACAGGGGAATGGTATATCTAATACAGGAGATTTTTGCTATAGGCCGAGACACATTCTCCAAACATAGAAGTGATTATTTTTATTATTATCTGTCTAATTTCTATCTAGATCTGTATTCCTAACTCAAGTAGGGAAGAGAGGGCCATGATTCACTGGACACCCCCAAAACTCAACAGTCCAGAGCAATACCACAGCCCTGATTCTGTGTGCCCAAGTTTGCTTTCACTTTCAACAATTACAAAAGAACATAAAAGTTCCATTTTCTTCTAGTTTATTCTCTATTCACTAGCCATTTCAAACTTTTTTATTCCTAGCTTAGAAAGTAGGTCAGACAAGGAACTTTTTAAATTAAAAGTATGTGAACATCTTCAGCCAAACATGCACAAAACTAAAGACATTGTTAATAAATTTGTCAAAGATAAAATGGTAACTGGCTTTTGTCTGCATTTTTTGACAGGTAACAATCATACGTACCACTAAGTCTCTGAGTAGAGGTGATTCACTCATGCATGAGTCAGAAACCAGAGTGAACAGTTTCCTGTCATCTCTGTCTGGAATCTTATGTTCCTAGATGCAAAATACCACGGGGTCTATTGAGCTACTATGTCAAACTCACCACTTGTAAAACATGAAAGACAGTATAAAAATGTTTCTTCTATACTTTTGCCGGAAAACAATCATTTGAGTCTAAATCCAATTAAACCTCTAGATTTACGTACCAATTTTCAAAAAATATGGGGATAGCAGAATCTGTTAGGTGATTCCTTGAAGATAATATCAGCCCAATTCTGTGACGGAAAGTTCTATAGCAATCATGACTCCGTTTTTTTCAACAAACATATGTCATAGAAAAGCAGGACGCATAGTTACAGACAGGCCAAAATGTGGAAGACATAGCTCAATGCAATGTATGGACTTCTTTTGGATTTTCATCCAAACCAAACAACCATAGAGAGGTATTTTTGAGACTACAGGAGAAAATCCAACATGCAGGTAATATTGGTGATATCAAGGAATTATTGTAATGTATTGAGTGAGATAATGGCATTGTGGTTATGTGTTTCTTGACTTTGTTTATTACAGACATACAGTAAAATATTTCAGTGGAATGATATATCTAGGGTTTGCTTTTAAATACTGATATGTTCATATATTATTTGTGCAATTAAAAAAGTAAAAATACATTGATAATAATTTTCTGTGATAAAATATTCATAACATTCAAAGAAATAAAAACAACCCTAATTACTAAGCCTTTCTCTTGAACAAAGTAGGGAATGACGTCTACATTACCTCATTTATGGTCCACACAAACCCAGTACATAAGCTTTATTATCTCCATTCTGCACGTGGGAAATTGAAGTTTATGAGGTAGTGGAATCAACATTAACTTTAGGACAAATGCTTTTCAGAATCCCACAGCTTTTTCAGAAGGAAGAATGGGTAAGTCCTTTCTAGAGGCAGAGAAACAGACCAGGCCTTTCTGAAATGTGTATAGAACATACTGAATGTTTCCTGCATGTTTAATGGTTCCAGAAAATTTCAGTCTATTTTTTCTTCTGGTTTAGACTGCTTTGCCTAATCTTTCAATACCGGGAGAACCCCTGAGCAGTTCCTCTTTTGGAATGATGGTTGGCTGAACTGGAGTAGATATCCCATTTAACCCAATTAATGAATTGCCTGGCCGGCTACTTAGGAGTTTCACTTTTTCTTAAACATTTAATCAGAAAAGGAGAAAGAACTTAGTTAGTCAAGGATTAATGCTGAAAATGAAAGATCCTGATGTCAAAGAAGGAAGCTGAGATGATGTAGCTCTAAGTCATCTATAGGTCCTTGTTTTCCTGCCCAGGAAGTGGTCTTGAGTGTACGATAGATCTCCTGCTATAACACTAATTCTCTCATCCCCTTTTCCCTCGAGGTAGTTTGAATAGATTCTGTTCTTTGACAACCAAAAAGCCTTATCTAGAACAATTACAGATGATTGCCATTTAACCTTTCACCAGATTTATTTCCAGAATCCTTTCACATACATCACCCCCAACTTGCTGCCCCTGAAAGAACGATGAATCAACTCCCAGTTGTACTCAAGAGGTACGCAATTCTTAAATCTCCATCACTTCCTTGCTTCTCTCCTTTCTTCATGCTCAAGCCCAAAGTCTCCATTCATCTGAATCAAATCCTTCCAAATTCCAGCCTAAGTATCATCTTGATGAAACCTTTGCTAACCAATACAGACCTCAAACATTCGTATCCTGTCTACATTTTATGATATGAGTATCAAATCTTCTCATTTTATGCTTACTGTGCACTGTTTTAAATTAATTGTTTGCTAGCTGGCTATGGGTATGTCTTTCCTACTTGATGTTCTTGTAAGTTTCTGGAAGTCATAGACATACATCTTCTCTTTTCTTTTTTTCTATCTCACTAAAAATGTCCCAAGTCCCTTGTTCTGCATAGCATTATTTAAATTAGAACCTGAGCAAATACTTGCTGATTAGTTGATTAATCATATATTACTTGAGGATGTGTCTCTTATTTCCAACATCTCACAAATGAGAGAGAGAAGATTCACTTTTACATATTTAGTAAGAATTATTCTTCCAGCTAGGCATGGTGGTGAATGCTTATAATTTCACAGAGGCTGAGGCAGGAGGATCACCATGAGTTCAAGGCCAATCTGAGCTACATAGTGAGTTCAAAAGCCAGCCTGAACTGCCTAGCAAGACCTTGTCTCAAAAAAAAAAAAAAAGAATTATTCTTCCATAGACTGACAAATTCACTCCTCTGATAATACGGGGCTCAAGAAAATTCTTTCTCTCTTCTGAAAATATCTGTGGTTTACTTTTTTCAGGCAAACACTGGAAAGATCAAAAAATGTTCTATGTAAGAAGATGAATGTGCCTTGGTGAGAAGCAGCTGGCTCCCACACTCCAGGTCGGGAACCTCTGTCCATAGCAAGGTGTATCTTTTATTTAAACATGGACAGTTGGTTTATTGTTAAGGATTGGGC